CTGTGAATACTTCATGTTCAGTGGTATTGTGAGTGTTGGTTATAAAACCAGCACCAGTATCCCAAAGATTATTTCTGACATAAATTCTATCTTATTATTGTCTGTCAATGCTGTGATTTCTCCCCTTTCTTTTTAAAAATTGTTACAGGGAATTGAGATTAATTTGAAGACTAGCAGTTCTTAAATTGATACTATCACAACCACGAAGATCTTTAGTTTTTCTTTTTTTTTGCAAACATACTATACATCTTTACATGATGATCACTTAGAAGATTCCACACCTTTCGTTTATCTGAATGTGGCTTCAGCAAAATGCAGTGAAGAATAATAATAATTTCATGCTTCTCAGTCTGACAGAGTTCATGAATCTTTAGGACCTAGGGCAAAACATTTTTAATTATATATCATAGTTTTTTTAACTTTTGGATCATTTTAGTTTTGAATCTAGATTAAATTTTGGATTTGTGCAATAAAATGTACTCACAGACTTCTGAGAAATGATTACATCTCGATCATTCAAGAAAATAAAAATTATGGTTGTATATTTCGTTTGCAGGTTCTTTACCTGGGTAGACAGCACATACATGAAAGTCAGGAAGTAAGCTGACTGGGGCTAAGGTGAAGGTACTGTGAAGTCCTATTACTTTAAAGAGACTGAAAGTATTGTGAAAGTAAGAAGCTGCTACTGAAGTAGTCGTATTCACTCCAACTTTGAATTTGACTGGTAATAGTAAAACACACACACACACACACACACACACACACACACACTTGGTTTTTGTGGGGGGGTTGTTTTTGGTTTTTGGTTTTTTTTTTTGTTGTTGTTGTTGTTTTTTTTTTTTTTGGTACTGGGGATTGAACTCAGGACCCTGCACTTGCCAGGCAAGTGCTTATTCTACTGAGCTATCTCCCTAGCCCTTGCTTTCAATAAATAACTATAGAATTTTGTTTTGAAATAGGGTCTTGCTATATATTTTAGGCTGGTCTTGAACACACTGTATAGCCCAGACTGGCCTTCAGTTTGTGATGATCCTCCCTCCTCAGCTTCCTGAGTGTTGGGATTAGAGATTTGTGTACCAGACCTGGCCAACTATAGAAAGTTTATTATGTTCCAGATCTAGAGGTAAATTTACCATGAAGCTAATGTAACTTAAAATTATTACTTCTTACTTATACTTAAATTTGTGTTTGAAAACCTAAGTTCCTTTTTAATTTTTTTCCCCTCAAATTATATAAGCTTCAGACCGCATAACATTTGGTTGTACTCCTGGCCAGAGTCAGGTGGATATGATGCTAGAATTAAGGATGTGTGATTATTAAATTCATCTTGTGATTGGTTTAGCATAATTCTGGGTGTGCATAATAGGAAGAACCACCCAAAGGCTGGAAATGTGGTTGGGAGGAAAGGAAGATGTACCATCCAGGCTAGCTTCTACTGCTTCTGCGATTTTGTTGCTGCTGCTTTCTGCTTCATTGTTTCCTCCCTGCTTCCCATGGACTATTTCTACTCTGTGATGCCCCTCTGCTATACCACTCTGCCTTGGAGCCAGCTGACAATGGACTGAAACCTCTATATATTGTGAGCTGAAGTGAATCTTTCCTCCTTTAATTTTGGATGTCAGTTATTATGTCTCAGAAGAAAGAAAAGAAAAAGTCTATTGGGCCCGGAATATTGCTTGATGGGCTAAGCGCCTGCCTGGCAAGCCAAGGACACAGGTTTAATCCCCCAGTACTGCATGCTTTGCTGGCCACCAAAACTGAGTTTGGTCTCTAATCCCAGCACTGGAGATGCTGAGACAAGAGGATCACTAGGAGTCAGAGCTACATAGCAAGACTCTTTGTCAAATTAATTAATTAATTAATTAAAAAAGAGTAGGTCCATGTCTGTATTTTAATCAATTGTTAATTATTATTAGTCTCTTCAATAATGTTGATCATTTCTTTTCAGATGTATTGCATGTCTTTTGTATTTTTCAGTGAAGAACTAGATACATATTTCACTAGGGAACAGAAAACAGAAAAGCCACATTTATAAGGATAGAGAAACTTGATTTCAAATAAGGGCAGTCCAAGTTTTAAAAAATTATGCAATATACCTAATAATTTAGATACAAAGATCTTAAATATTAGCAAATTAAATACAGTTATATATTTTAATTATTAACAGTTTCTTTAATGAATATAAGGATCTGTTATGAAAGTATCATAGCACCTAAATTAAAAGCAGAAAGTCACAAGATTGTTTCATTTGATGTATATTTAAGTTGCTCCTAGCTTTCCATTCTTTTTTTTTCTTTTCTTTTCTTTTCTTTTCTTGAGACAAGATCTTGCTGTGTAGTTCAAGCTGTTCTTGAACTCATTCTGCAGTCCAGGCTGGCTTGAACTCATGGTAATTCTCCTGTCTCAGCCTCCCAAATGTTTGGATTATAAGCATGCACCACCACACCTGGCCGTGCTTTTCATTTTTACGAGAAATGCTTTACTGACTAATTTTCTACATACATTATCCTATCATTTTCTTAGGAAGATTTTCCAAAAGAGTATATGAAGTTTAAACTGTAATATATTGTTAAATGAGCCCAGAAAACTTTCTTTGTAAATGGCCAACAAATATTATAGGCTTGTGGGCCAAGAAAAAAAACTGAGACTATTATGTAGGTACATATATAACGAGGGAAAACAGATTTCCATAAATCTTTATTGATGAAATAAAAATAGGATAAAATTGAGCACATTGATACAATTTTTTGCCTACAAAAATGAATGGGATTCTTTTGGGAGACATACTATTGGTGTTCCCTGTCATCCAAATCTATCACATTATAAGTTGATTGTTTATGCTAATACACAATAAGATTTCCATATTTCACCTTTACAAATGTCTTTCTACATACAGTGCATAGGTACTGCCAAACATTGATATCAGTCCATGAGCATATGGTTTTATTTGAGCATTTTCACAGATTGGAAGGCATTTTTAGAATTCTATTAGCTAAAAGGCTAGAATGCCTCTTAGCATGTCATTACATTGCAAATCACTTCCAATTAAAGTTCCTCAATTGCAGTTTAATGGATTTTGGAATATGGAAATTTCCTTTGCACATGCATAGAGGTCTGAAAAATACTGCTATAGTTTGAAATTAGAAGATATATTGTGGAGAATTTGTGTAGGAATGGAAATATCACCTTTTTTTTTTTTAACTTTTGACAGTGCAGGCCTGACATTACTTGCAATTCAAACAATGTTAGTTCTCATTGAAATTACTTTATCACAGTGTTTCACATATAAGTTTCACATAAAAGCACTATTTTCCCTTGTGTTTTAGCTTGAGACATTTTTGAGTTTGCAATAAAAGCCATTCAAAAAGCAATAGTTGAATGCAGTTCTTCCAACCACTTAAAATATAAAAAAAATTATTCTTAAGGACTGTACAAACATATTTCGGATATGGCCTATTGGTCATCATTTGTTGACCCCTGCTCTATAAGTTTTAACCTATAACTTTCATAGTAAATTTATTGTTTTCCTGAAGTTTTGTAACCAATAACCACTTATTTAACCAATGAGCTTTTTAAAAACAAACAAGTTTGGGGATGGGGAGATAGCTCAGTAGACTAAGGGACTCCTGGCAAGTGCAAGGTCCTGAGTTCAATCCCTGGTACTGCAAGAATAAATAAATAAGTAAAAAATAAAACAAGCAATTTGAATGTTAACTGTCCTTACATACTCTGTTATGTAGTATAATCACTATACACTGTATACATATATTGAGTTATAACATTGTTCCAAAATTGACATTTTTCAATTTATACTTATTTGAACAATAAGGTGGAATACAGTTTTCTTATTTTAGGCCAGTTAAATTTATTTCTTCATTATAAACTAGGTCTTGATATTCTTTTTTCAATTTTATTACAGTGAAATTTTCATTTCAGCGTTCTATAGATCACAAAGACTTTAAACCCTTTTAGTGCTTCTACCTGCTTAGTCAGTGTTATTCCATAGCCTTCTTCCTTACATCCAGCACTTCTTCCATTCAAAAGACATTCTGTTGGGGCCGGGGAGATGGCTTAGTGGAATAAGCACTTCCCAGGCAAGTGGAAAGGCCTGACTTCAATCCCCGGTTCCACCAAAAAAAAAAAAAAAAAAAAAGACATTCTGTTGCTGACAAAGCTATAGAAGACTTCTCAAGCTTCTCTGTATATTTACACCAGATATCAGTGATTCTGTTGCCTTTTGTCCTTTTTGGCAGCAACCTGTGCAAATGTCTGCCACAAAATTAATCCACCTATTATAATCACACCTTTATATAATAGTCTACCTCTCAACTGGACTCAACTCTTGATACTTGTGTTGTATTTGATGAGTACCTTCACACAGTGACCATTACTTTTCAGGTACTAATTATTTGTTGAATGCATGAGTTTAAAATAGTAGCACTATTGACAATATTAACAAATATATGCCAGATACATAAAAATAAAAGATATTCTGTATAATATTTCATGTATAGTGCTTTTTACTTAACATTGTACCACATACAGTTAAATTTGGAAGAAGTTCCCTCAAGGTCACATACAGAGGCATACACTCAGGCAGCTGAGGCAGGAAGATCACTGTGCCCTGGAATTCAAGATCAGTCTGTACATCAGCAAGATCCTGATGAAAAAAGAAAATGAAGAGGATCCTCATATATTATAATCCTCACCAAATAAAATAAAAAAGGTTTTTATTCCCTGGTAAACACATTTATTAAATGTGTTTTTATCTTAAGGGATAAAATAATTTATTTCACTGCCTTTATTATAGCTTTGGTCTCTAGTTAAGAAAAATTATTTGTACTGGGAAAGAAAATTGAAAATTTTAAAATACAAAAAGAAGTCATTGGGCCATGTCCATTTTATAACCTGAACAGTAAGTTTCTTCCTTTCAAAATCTCCTTTGTAACCTGATCAAGATTTATGTTGGATTAATCTTTTATTTTGTTTTATTTCCCAAGGATATCCATTACCTTGCCCTAGATAAGGGTGAATTGGCACTAGCTGAAGTGGCAAGGAAAAAAGCGAGTGACATTGATGAAGAATCAATAACCTCTGGAGTTGGTAATGCTTCTTTTTAAGGGCTTTTTGTTTTAATCAATACTTATTATCATTTCTATTTGTACCCATGGTTGGTTAATTTGAATTACATTCCTTGTAAAGAAAGTACCCTATAAAAAACATTATTAAATTTGAAAGTAGCATAATATTGGTAAATAATGTATAACTATATGTGAAAATTAATAATCAGTGATTGCTATAGTCACTATTAGCAAAAAGTAAAAAGATACTGCTTTTTTGATAAGTTTTTAGGGAAAATAGTTTATCATCAGTGCTATTATTAACCAACAGAGGAACTTATATAACCATTTATTTGTATACAGATGTTATATATTAAAAGAATTTTCTCCTGTATAAAAGTATTTCACATGTGATTTCAAGTTTGATAGCTGGTTTTTTGTTTGTTTAGAAACTGTTTTTAGTTTAGTATTTATAAAAAGCATCAGAGGCCAAGTTTGAGTCTAAAGATCCATTTAAACTTTATAATATGGAAAAATAAAAGATTTAAAACTACAATATAAGCATTAGTTTCCTTTTCCTTTTTGGTACTGAAGATTAAATCAAGGGGCACTCTAGCACTGAATTACATCACTAACCCTTTCTGGTTTTTGAGATGGGGTCTCATTAAATTGCCTGGGCTAGCTTGAATTTCCAGTCCTTCTGCCTCAGCCTCCCAGGTAGCTAGGGTTATAAGTGTGCACCACCACAGTCCAGCAGGACTTTTTTTTTTCTGAACTCAATTTATCTGATGTCACTAAATCTGGCAGTATTGAACATAACAGTGCCTTTTCTTTCTGGCATCTCTCACTCCTAGATTATATAGAGGACCTTCAAGATTGTAATATAATTCATTCTATTTCTCTGTGGATTCCTATAAAACAAGAGGTTTTAACCTCTTTTTTTAATTTAATGAAATTTTTAATTTTTTTTGTCATTTTATTTTTTTTCCATAATTTTATTGAGAAACAAATAGCAATGAGACAGTTTCAAACCAAATTGGTAGGACAGTTTCAATAATTACACATTGCATACATTCTTCCTAGTGGTTAATTGCTGTACAAGATGCAGACATAATATCCTATTTACAAACACCATTAGAACAAATGGTTTTAACCTCTTTATGCCAAGTGTTTCACTTGTAGAATACCCATAACAATGGAACATAATATTTTTTTCTATTCAAATTATTGTTAATTGAATTTTTCTATGTAACATATATGAAATTCCTGTAAAAATTTAAAACATTGAAATCTTCAGCATAAATGTGTTAATAAAATTCCCACATTGTAAGTACTTAAAAATATTGTAGTGAACTTCTCTACTGATAGATCATCTTATGTTTTGTCTTTGTGATGACCAACTGGGACCAACTGGCTTCTTTGACATCACATCATAAATTCTAGTTTTCAAGGTGATATTAAAGGGGGCTGGGGAGATAGCTCAGTATAATAAGCGCTTGTCTGGCAATTACAGGGCCCTGAGCTCAATCCCCGGTACTGGAAAAAAAAAAGATGATATTAAAGGGGACTCAAAGCCATATTATTATGGTAACCCTAAACCAAAATATCAGGATTAACAATTATTATCAATAACAGAATTCCATTCTTTCCTACCTTGAGAAAGTGGCATATTGAACCCATAAGAATACTTTAGTTGGCCTGTCATTATACTGTTTCCTGTTACTAATACTATTATTGTCTCAATAACAATAGTAATACATAGTATTTACTAAATGTTCACATGGAACAGACTATTTCAAATTATAGATACCAACTAATTTAATCCTTGTAACAACTCTGTGTTGCACAGAAGTGACTGTTAATTAGTGATAAAACCATGCTAATAGGAATTATAATGTTATATAATGGGAATTTGAAAAAAAAAAAAAAAAACCCTCCATTCCTACCTCGTAAGCCATTTAGGAAAGCACAGCAAGAGGTTAATTGTAGGTAATTTTCTAGGAATTTTCCTTAGTTGTCCCTGCTTGCCTTTTCTATCAGAATATCAAATATAATGAAATCTATCTTTGTATTTTCAAGTTGGAGGCAGGGAATGTGAGGAAATTGCCATGAACCTTCAGAAAAATGAAGAAATCTTGTGCTCTTCTAGAGCAGGTTACTATAGCCAAGTGATAATTCCTAGACAGAAAGCTCTGCATTCCTCCTTTGAACTCTGCCTCATTTTTGGCAAATAAGGTATGACCCAGATTATTGTCATTTGATAAAGACATCACTCAGTAACATGAGTAACTAACAAGAGGTTAACTTCTTAAATGAGTACAGTAATTACTCTACTATTGTTCTAGAAGACTGAGTGACTCGCAGTCATGATTCCAAATGGAGTTTGGGAAGCAATCCCTAATTTCCAGCCTTTTTTTTTTTTTTTTTCTTTTAACTAGAAATCGAACTCAGGACCTTGCACTTGCCAGGTAGGCACTTGTGCCACTGAGCCATCTCCCCATCTCCTTCTAATTTCCTCATTGTAGCCTGTTCTTTTCCTCATTGCACCCCACATCAATTGGGAATACTAATTTTTCTCATATTGCATCAATTTAATTCACTAGTCTCTCAAACTTTTCCCAAAACAGAAAGTCATTAAATTTTTGGCTTTCAAAGGTGCTCATTGATGCAAGCAAGAGGCTAAATTAGATATCAAGAATACTGAAGTAGTTCAGACTACACGGGAGAATCTTTTTTAAAAAGAAAAGTATTACACTGTCAACTCAGTTAAAAGCAAGAGTTGCCAAAGGAAAAGCTAAATTATAATCTGAATAATTTGGTAATTAAATAAACTTTTTATTGGTCTGGCCAGATAGCTCAGCGGATTAAAGTGCCTACTTAGGCAGACACAGGGACTGGGGTTCGATTCCCAGCATACTGTGCCAGCCCCGCCCCTGGGGCACACAGAGATGGAGACCGAGACTGGGCATGGTGGCATGCGTCTGTAATCCCAGCACTTGGGAGGCTGAAAACAGGATCACTATGAGTCTGATCTGTGTAGTGAGACCCTATAGGCTCTGTACTAAGTACATTTTTTAAAAAAACAAAAACTAAAAAACTTTTATTAAAGTATAACACATATACATAAAAATGTACAAATCGTAAGAATATGACCCAGTTAATTTCCTTACCTATAGTGAACACAAGTGGTAGCCAATATCTAAGCCAAGTAACATATATTACCACGACCCCAGGAGTCCCTTTGTGTCCCCTTCAAGATACGATATCCCCATGTTATGTATACAGACTTTGTAATACTTTATTTCAAACTTTTGATGGTGTAATGATAGGAATTGAGTTCATTTTTATCAATACAATGACTAAAATTCTTTCATATTGTTGCAGGTAGTTTTAATTCTTCTTTTTTCTCTTATTTTTGATGCTGGGGATCAAAATTGTATATGCTGAGCATGTGCTGTACCACAAGGCCATACCCCCAGCCTGTGTTTGACTTTTTCATTGTTACTGTTATGTAATAATATTCCAGCAATGAATATTTTACAATGTTATTTAATCTATTTTAATGAATTCTGACAAATTTCTGTTTTTAATGTAACATGAAATAAACTATATATATACTATTATGTATGAAAGATATATACATTTATAATATCTAGTTGTCTAAATTTTTAATTATTTGTTTCCCTTTTTGGCAGCCTTGTCTTATTTTTGATATGTTGCTCATTTATGCAAGATATAGTCTATCAAGTACATACTTTTCAAACGTGTTAACTTCTATAAATCTTGATAAGGGGAAAATTTGTAATCAAGGTTGATGTAATATGTATAGGTTTAAAGCCTATAAAATTAAGCTTTATTATTTGATACCAGCAGTAAGATATTTAAAATGTCTATTCTATTTCTCCCTTGTTTGCATTTCAATACTAAATGCTAAGCTTTATTTATCTGTTTTTCATAATTTTATTGAGAAACAAATAGCAATGAGACAGTTTCAAATCACATTGGTAAGACAGTTTCAATAATTAACATGTTGCATAATTCTTCCTAGTGGTTAATTGCTGTACAAGATGCAGACATGATATCCTATTTACAAACACCATTAGAACAAATTGCTCTATTCATTTAAGAGAATGTAACTATATATCTATCCTAACCACTTTGAATACACAGATACAAAATGGACATTCATCTGTATCCCCTTTTTTTGTTAAGTTCCGTTATTTGAATATTATAGGTGTATAAACTCAGCAAAATATTCTAAAAGAGTCCAGTAGCCCATAATAATATTGGGTCTTCCGCTTGACTTGCAATGTCAGAAATTGTTGACCTGAGTCCCCTACAGCTCAACATAACACCATGGCTTTACTTCTTATATTTGGTTTTTATACTTTTCTGCTGAATGGTTAAGACCAAGGTAAAGCAGGGCCTATGCAACAAGAGTTGTAGCTTTTGGGTCTGATAAGGACAGTGAAATCCCCTCAGGACTTATCCTGAGATCCTGTACCTCAGATTGTAGATCCTTTGTCGGTGTCAGCCATGTGGATGAGTCACGGCCATTGCTTGGCCAATGTGCTCTCTGTGAAAGCCTGAGAGAATGTTTTCTCTCCATGTGACTCTCCTTAGGCACACTCGACATCATTGATCACTTTGCTCTTTGGCCCCATAATCTCCTTGATGAGAAAATTTGGGACACTACTGAGTTACATGACATTACAGTACAAGTTCTCATGTGTCCTGAGTCTTAATTGACCTTAGAAGGTTAGGGCCAAAATGTTGGCTTACCTTTCAGCCCTCCTTTTTCTCTAATTTTGGTCTGCAAACTTAGGTTGTTAACCATCCAGAAGACAAGCTTATTATTATCATACAACTTAGGCTGTTAAGCTTAACCTCAATATCTGTCTGAATATCAAACATCTTAGGCATAACATGGAACAGGTATTTTTCATCAAGTATTGATATGTTGAACTTTAAGTCCCTACAGAATATGATAAAAAAACATTTAAAAATTAGAATATATTTTAAAAATAGGCATAAAGAATTATATACTTCTTATGTTTACACATAAGTCCAAAAATCTAACCATATACAACCTTGAAGCAGGACAGTCTCACAATATTCTTTTTCCTGTCTATTAATGCTAAGCTTTATTATATTTCTTATTAAAATAAAAGAGGTAGAGCTTGGGTAAAGAAAATGCTTAAGTGAGATTATGAGTGTAAAATCATTTTAGAAAAGACAAACATGATAAGCCAAACGCTGACATTTCTCTTTCTTTTCTTTTCTTTTCTTTTCTTTTCTTTTCTTTTCTTTTCTTTTCTTTTCTTTTCTTTTCTTTTCTTTTTTCTGAGACAAGGTCTCACTATGTAATGCAGGCTGGCTTTAAACTTGTTTATATAGCCAAGGCTGCTTTTGAACTCAGTGATCCTCCTTCATCAGCTTTCTGAGTTCTGAGATTACAAGCATGTGCCATCATGCCTGGCTAAAAGCTGGCATTTCTATTACAGTATACTCAGTGTGTAACTTAAGGCAGTGCAAATTTTGTATACCTAAATTGAATGCTTGGTGGCTTTTTTCTTGATCTTTTTGCGATAGGATTTCATTACGTAGTTCAGGTTGGCCTTGAAATCAAGGAGATCCTCTTGCCCCAGTCTCCCAAGTGCTGTGATTACAGGCATGCACCAGCATGCCTGGCTGCTTGGTGATATGTAAGCTACTTGATTATTTCAGATTTCTTTTCTCTTGTCACCTACTTTCTAGATAATTTGTACATTATGTCATGTTAAATATTAAAAAATGTACTTCTAAAAGTTTACAAAATAGCTGGGGTTGGAGACTGCAGAATGCTCTGGGAGAACGTTTTGAGCATGGACTTTGGCATCAGACTTATT